CAGCACACTCCTGAAATCCCCCGGGGCCCCCGAGCCCGAAGGCCCAGCTCGCGTATGAGCAGACCCGAAGTATGTAGGAGCCCCCGTGTAAGTAGTCTCAGCATAAGGGCCCCCTGCCGGCTCCTGCATTGGAGGAACCATCTCGAGCTCCCTAGGCAGATCTTCTGGCGGATAGTCCGGTACCTCGGGCTTCGCATCCCGGGGCATCTCGGTGCGAGTTCACTTGTCAACGCGCTTTCTCCTCTTCATGCCTTGAAACAAGTGCCCACCCCGGGTCCCTCGAGAATCCACCACACCTGCGAAAAGAAGTTTGCCATCAGTAAAAAGCAAGAAAAACAACAAGACAGAATCTCTAAGTGAAGAACCTACCCGAGCTCAGGCCGGCTGCAATGAGCTTGGCCTCCGTCAGATACTGTTGACACTTCAGCCCAAGCCGTGCCCATTGCCGGAGGCCCTTCGCCGTCTCTTTGTCAAGCGTGACCCCGGAGTCAGGAGCGGCCATCCCCCACCCGGTCTGAAACGGCCACCCCAGCACACTTTGCACCCCGAAATAGTCCCGCTTCCATGCTAGGACCTTGTTGGGGAGTTCATGTAAAAGCTTAAAGCCCGGGCGAGGAGACAGGTAGTATGCCCGCCTACGCCCGGGGAGGGGACCCGCTTGCTTCTTAAGCATCAAGATCGAAGAAAAAATCTCCAAGTCCAAAGGAAAGCTCTCTTCGCAAAATAAAGAGATTGTCCCCACCAAATTTTGAATGGAGTTCGAGTGCAGCTGGCCGACCATCACGCCGAAGTGGTTCAAGACTTTGACAAAGAGGGGATGAAAAGGTAATCGCAGCCCYGCGGCGAGCTGCTCCCAGAATATCACGATCTCATCAGGACCGTGTTCCCAAGGAAAGCTACCCGAAGGTATGAAATAGGCGTACTCCCCGGGCAAGTTATAGTAGGTAACGAGGGATTGGAGCCCCTCGGGCGTCATGGTCGAAGGACCAAACTTGTCTAACATCCGACCCCGACGAGAGGTGGATGCCAAACTGCCCGAAGCGCCTCGGCCTACGAGTTCAAACTCTTCCTCGAGCTCTACCTCTGGCTCGCTAGGGCTATCAGGGGATGCAACTCAGTTCGTAGAACCTACATCAGACCCGCTAGAAGGACTATCTGAGCTAGACATCGAGGAGTGAGAAGGGATCCAGGAAAGTACTCACCTGGAAAAAGGCTGTAGACCACAAGAGCTCGGACGAGCAGAAGACCTTGAACGCGAACTGGATGCGAGCTGAAACTTGGACGCGAGCTCGAAAGAAATACAGAAGTGATAGCGACTGGGGTCCCCCCTGGTATTTATACTCACAGTGATCAAAAAGCGACGGCTTAGATCAAAGCCAATCCGACGGCCCACAGCCGCGCTGACTGCACATCCCCTGAGACCGAGACGTGATTGGCGCACGCCTTTCTGAAACTGACAGAGCGCCGGCGCACGTCTTTTCGAAACTGACGGAACGCCAGCGCACGTCTCCTCAATAAAAGCGGCAGCGGCACGTCTTTTTCAAATTTGAAAAGACACCCGCTATCGCGCCTCCCAAGTGGCGCGCTTTTTTGAAATTTCAAAATAAAGCGCGCGTCGCCGCATCTATCAGCATTTAGGCAGGCCGGCGCGCTTCCCGCCTTTTGGACGCTCGAAGAAACCCAAGGAACCCTGACAACGCACCTCGCGCCGTCAAAACCAAGATTCAAAGTGCAAGGCAAATCTACCTAACACCTTGCGAACTCCCCGCACCAGGGCAAGACCCTTAGCACGAGGAGTGGGGGGCAATTAATGAAGGAAGATTTGGCCCGGCCTCGCAATCACGCCACGTGGCAAAAAACAAGTAGCTCGGCACTTGAAGCAGCGTACCCAGGGTGCAAACACCAAAGGGAAGAAACCAGCAGTGCGAACTCCCCTCGAGGAGACCGAACTCCCTTCGAGGAGACCGAACTCCCTACGAGGAGCCCGAACTCCCTACGAGAAGCCCAAACTCCCTAAGAGGAGCCCGACCTCCCTACTAAGAGCTCAAACTCCCTACGAGGAGCCCGAACTCCCTAAGAGGAGCCTGACCTCCCTACTAAGAGCTCGAACTCCCTACAAGGAGCCTGAACTCTCCCTTTGGCCCCGAGCCACACAAAGCAGTGACCCGAACTGGCCCGTCTCATGGCAGTTCAGGACATTCCCCTATCCAAACTCAAGACTTCGCCTCGCACACCGCTCCAACACTTCGCCTCCAGAGCATCGAATTGGACAAACCACACCATACTTGACACCAAAGGAGTCTGTATCCAGGGGCGGCGCACCTGACTGACTTGGGATCTAACGCTTGACGGCCGC